CATGAGAACAGATACAGATTTAAAAGGAAGAGCAGCAAAGAGAAGGGAAACTACCATGGATTACAGTAAGGCGCACATTACAGTATTGTTTTATGTTAAAAAATCTGAGGGTTTAATGTCACTTTATGTCGATTCCGATCTTTATGTTGGTCTGATGTTTCTCTTGTTTCTTTTAGTCCATCAGAATATAATGTTTGGCAGGGTGATAACGATGGAACACAAATGGTACACAGGATCAGAGCGTTGTCATCCTATAACAGGAAGTGCCTGAGCAAAGGCCTTCATGGCAGGAAGACAGCGGATCAGTCTTGTATAACACTTTTAAAGCAATGTTAAAAGTTTATATGAGATTTGTTTGGGTTTACATCTACTTTAAGAGTGTACCCACACAATGTATAATATAAAATGGAGGAATTGGTGGAATGGCAAATTCACTGTACAAATTATTATTATTATACAGGATGTATATAGCGCCAATAGTTTGCGCAGCGCTTTACAATATAGGGAAGACATTACAAACACAATACAAATCAAGACGGTAAGGAGGGCCCTGCCCCTGAGGGCTTACAATCTAAAAGAGAGGGGGAGGTGATACATGAGGAGGTCGCCATTGGGGATGAATTGTTTGAGAACATGAGGTTGAGTGGTTAGGTTGAGGTGGGATAGGCTTCCTTGAAGAGATTAATCTTTAGGGAACGTCTAAAGGCAGTCAAGGTGGGAGACAGGTTGGGGTAAAGAATTCCAGAGGATGGGAGAGACTAGAGAAGTCCTGGAGGCGAGCATGGGAGGAGTTGACAAGGGAGCTGGAAAGCAGGCGGTCTGGGGAAGAGCGGAGGGGACGGTTAGGGCGATACTTTGAGACAAGGTTTGAGATATAGCCGGGACCAGAGTTGTGGATGGCAGATTACAAAAAATTCTAGAATAATGTTCAGAAGACGTCAGTCTGATGATGAATCAGCCGCTGGGTCTATGGAAAAGAAAAGGGAAGAACAAGCTGAATAGAGAAATTAGTTTAACCCGTTCAGCTCTCCCCCCTCTACACCCATAAAAAGAGTCCCCAGCACACCTGCCAGGTGGCCTGCAACAATACAAGTTACCTGTCAACAGTATGCGTTAAAAGCAGAGGTTTTAGTTGCACAAACCTTTGGGCAAAAATATGTAGAAGCCAGACCGCCCCGTCAAGGCTCCTCTGTGAAGTGTGGTCCTAACTCTATGAGTCTCCATGTTGGAGCATATTAATCCAGTCATCCCAACTCTCCCGGGCGCTCCGGGAGTCTCCCGCTATTAGCGGCTCCCGGCCGCCCGAGAGAGAAAAATTTTCTCCAGGAAAGGTTTACTCTGCTTTATCTAGCAGAGTAAACCTTGCCCTTCGATCTTTTTTTTTTTTTTCTCACATCGGGGCCGCCGTTGGACAGAGAAAAAAACAAAAAACCAGCATAGGAACGCATGGCTAGATTGCTATTGGCTATTTCACTTTGCAATAGCCAATAGCAAACTAGCTATTGTACCCGCCCACTGCAGGGTCACAGGAGGACATATACTAGCCTCCTCCCGTGACCCAAAGCTCAGTATATAGAGAGCTACAGCTCGCGGTATACTGAGACCACCGCAGCCGGGACAGATCCCCACATTACTGTCGAGATCCACCCAGCTGCGTGAGTGACAGCTGGCTCTGCCTATCTAGAGGCAGAGCCAGCTGTACCCGCCCCCTCCCCCGTCCGTTCCGCCAGTCAGCGCTGGAGGATCAGAGCAGGGAGGGGTGAATCCCTGCAGGGAGCCGTGAGTGACAGTCACGGCTCTCTGCCGGGAGATGATCGAGAAGTGAGGGAGTGACGCTATGTGTTCCCTCACTTCCCGATCTATTGAGCCGACCTGTGACAGTATCATTGTCACAGGTCGGCTCAAACTATGAGGAGGAGTGGAATTCACTCACCTCATAGTTCTCCTTTAAGAAATTGCTCCAGAGTAGAAGTGTTACATAGTAAACATTGGAAGTGGTAAAACATTTACGTTTATGTTTTTTTTAAAACTTTTTAAGTTTAATGGACTGACATCAAATGCAGATTGAAGTCCACCCCTTTGATCTGCAGATGAATGAAACTGGTGAATGAGTACATACAAAAGTAGCAATGGTGCGCTGTATCTCTCTATCTCCTATCTGAACTGTGTTTATAAAAAGAATTTGACAGCAGCAGCTGTATTTACACAGCAACTAACGGCTATCATTTTGACGCTGGAAATTGCCAACAAATGCGAAGGAAGGGGTGTACTACAACACCCTGTGTAACTCCACGATGTTTTTTTGGGCTGTGTGAAGCATTCTCAAGTTGCATAACTGGTTAATTAAAGTGACACTACACTCAGGAGTTAAATCTTAAAAATACATTCAAGTATCTTAACTCTGAACAACAATGTATCTTAGTTGTGTATGACTCGGCTGTAGATCCTCCAATCATCTCTGAATTGGTCCTTCCTTCTGGAGGGGGGCTACTTTTGTTCCCCATGATCCCTGTGTGTGTTGTAGAGTAGTCACCGCTCTGAGCTCACTCCCGGGATGGACTGCAATCTCATGTTGAGTTTACTGATTTGTATTGAGATTGTAGTCCATCCCGGGAGCGAGCTTGGAGCAATGACTACTTTACAACACACACAGGGACCATGGGGAACATAAGTAGCCCCCCCCTCCAGAAGGAAGGACAGTGTCAGCACCAATTCAGAGATGATTGGAGGATCTACAGCCGTGTTCAGAGTTCAGGGACTGCTATAGATTTTTAAGATTTAACTCCGGAGATTAGTGTCACTTTAACTGGTATTAGAAATCACGGTAGTATATTGTATTACCTTTATAGTTGTAGATGGATCCACAAGGTCACTTTTTTTTATAAACTTGGTTTTCTGAGAGCAACCTCAATGTACTGTCTTAAAACAAAAAAAGCAAGAAAATGAACATTGGGAAGTATCTTTCTGTAACAGAATGTCTCTGCAATTAATTCTAACTGGAAATATAATGTAGATCGGTGCAGCTGTAAAATGTACGTCTCCTATGTTGGGACCAGAACTGGTGTAAATTGTGTAAGGGTGGTGGGACATGTCAACTCTTTGGGGAGTTGCATTAGATGTTTTCGATTTTAGCATATTGAACATTATCAATGAACAATTAATTGAAGAATTTAATTAATCTTTATTTTCCAGCATTGTGGTTATTTTTCTTGAGACACATTTTGGTTGTATCTACATTAAAGGTCAGAGGAAATCCCTATAAAAGCTAATCGGCAGGGGATTAGGAGGAAGGGGAGGGTCCAAGGGAAAAGGCAGAACTTGTATTTGTGTTTTTTCCTTTTTAGTAGTTGACATTTCTTTTAAAGAAAAAGAAAAATTAAAAACAATTTAAAGCAACAGTAGACCCATATAGTATTTGTGGTACTGTTTGTTTTCTATGAAATAGGTAAATAGCTATCAAATGTGCACACAGATAGGAAAAAAAAAGTCACAATTACAAATACAAAGAATACCCTAACAAAAAGCACCATGGAAAGAAAATAGAATGCAACTTACTGTTTTTGCTGAGTTCCAGCCTCAGATACTGATTGCGCATCCAAAAAATTGCTGTAAAAGTATGAATAGTTTAAGTGGGATGAATTGCATGCATGTGAAGTATTGTGTGTGGAAATTGTAGCTCAAATGTTAAATAAAATATCTTTCTTTTTGTAATGGACTTCATTAAAATGGCATCTGGGGGTTTCGTAACAATGGCAACCCCATGGATGGGAAAAAAATGGTGCCCGATCGCGCATGCATGGTGGGCTTGCTTGGTAGGTGTGTAACAAGAACCTGCTGGCTAGTTTGTGTTCCATATTTGGTTGTGAGGAGTGTCTGTGCCCGTCTAACTCTCCAACAAAATGGTGGTGCACACTGTCCATGGTCATTGCCTATCGCCTCCCTCAGTTCTATTGTCAGTGCTCTGTGCTGTCTTCCTCCCAGCTCTGCCCATCAAAGCCATACAGCACCTTGCACCTGCCCCAGTCTCTCATATTAGCATGCTTCCTCTACTATGACCTTGCCCCCATTCTGCCACCCTACCCACACCTCTGGCACCCTGCAATCCCCTCCAGTCCATCTTTTTCCACCTTCTGTCAAAATGCCCTCCCCTTCCATCAATATCCCCTCCCCTTTCCCTCCCCCCTCTCTTTGGGCCCGCTCCCTCCTCTGTCGCCGGCCCCGCCTCCTGCTCCGTCACTGGCCCCACCTCCTCTGTTGCTGACCCCCGGGCCTCCTCCTCACCTGCCAGGTCCAGCCTCCTCCACCGCTGCTGCTGGCTCTCATTGACTCAGCGCGGCTGTGGAGAAGAACGCAGCGCTGCACAGATCACTGACAGTGATCTAAACAGCTGCGCTTTCAAAGCCATAGCGACCCAGGCAGCCGTCACGGCATCAGGGGGGTGTCCTGGCCGGGCCCCCCTGTGCCCAAGCCCCATAGCTTCCGCCTGATTCGCTATGGCGATTGTTACGCCACTGCCTGTACCTCTCTCCACCTCTGCAGACCAACTGCCCTCCAGCCCCGCGCCCCCCCTCCCACCATGACCTGACCACCA